CAAAGATAACTATCTTTGCGTAAATAGATAGAAATATATTACCTTATACAGGGCCAAAAAATACTTTGTATTACATGTGACCAAATGTTGATAGTCCTATTTGGGTTTTTTAGCAAAACTTACATTTATTACGATGATACTGTGACGAAAATGTGTCATATTGGCTTTGAGAGATCTTTTTCTGATAACTTTTTTCAATATTATCAAAAATGAACCAACTTCAGAAACGTTTTGAAAAAAACATTGACAGATAATACTAATCACATGCCAGGGTTTAATTTCGAATAAAGATATAAATAAAAACATCCATATAATACGGGGGTAATTTTAATTGAGACAAGGAAAGTCGTAGGTAGTATCAGAAGTGAATTTCAATAAGAAAAAATATTTTTCCATCAATCACCGTAATATTTTTTTATATACAGGGTGTTTATTAAACATGCGGCAAAAAATTAAGGGACTATTTCTTGGACTATTCTAAGGATATTTTGTCCTTTGATGATTTTTGATATGGCGAATTTTTTCGAAGATACAGGGCGAAAAAAAATTTCGACAATAACAATTTTGGTAATTTTAAAATTATTACCGTAGTCGAAATGAAAGTATAGAGTACTTCACTGGACCTACCAAGTAATAAAAAATCTAACAATTCCGTTGGTGCCTATCAACAACATTCCGATTACTACAAACGGCTGCAGACATTCAATTTGAATAGTATGCCTCGTAAGTGATCATTTGTATGTGTCGAATAGATTGAAACCGATTGACTTTCTCTATTTGACGTACATTTTCTGTATACGAAATTCTTGTAGTATTGTTAGTGAAGTCCTCTATCATGAATGGCTATAGTAACGCAGAGATGGCTGGAATCAGAGGAAATCTTCTAGAATGATTTCACAATTATTTGTATGATAGAAGACGGTATGTTTATATAGATAATCAAAAAAGCTCTCTTCAAAATATAACTTGTGGTATACCCCAAGGATCCATCCTTGGTCCTGTTTTTTTCCTTATTTATATTAATTCACTAGCCAATTTGAAATTGAATGGTATAATTAAACTATTTGCTGATGATACCTATTNTGTCATACATATTTCAAGTGGGAGAAGCACATTGACGAGCGGTTGAGAAAACGCAGATTTGAAGACAGGAGACGATATGTCATCTCAACTAATTTCATGAGTCTCATACTTTTTCACAACATCTTTCGAGTTGCCTAAAACTTGAGTACTGAGTACTTCTTAGGAAGTTTTCAATATTTTTTCAAAGCTAAGAAAAGCCAAGGATCTCACTTTTTTTTGTGATATCAAAATTTTAAAGTGTTGGAGCTATTGCAGTATTGTCTAAGTGAAATAGAAAAAAGTGTGGATTGAACAAAGAAAATTTCACATTGGTTGCGAAAAATCCATTCGGTTTAAGCGTATGGTAAATCCTGAAGATTCAAACGAATCAAATATAATCAATTCAATATGAAAGAGACTGGAAAGGATGGAGTAAGTTGGTAGTTTTGAAGATTACGAATGAAGTAATTACTAGCTAAGACATTTTGCCAGTAACAACCGGAAGATACTAGATCCCAGGTTGACCTGGTACCAACGTCTAGAAAGAGTTAAAAGAAAGTCGAAGGTAGTACTGGTGCTGACTAGATGCATCTACGGAAATACATCAAACCAGATATGATACATTGGCTCTACACCATGGTGATTAAACCCATGACACCATATGCATCTATAGTCTGATGGCCAAAGATGAAACAAACGACCATTATTAACAAATTGACCAGGGTGCAAAGACTTGCATGTTTGGGAATGATAAGAGAAATCAAACCTACTCCTATAGCTGCATTGGAGACTTTCGAACCTTCCTCATTTACATCTAGTAATAACGAAGGAAGCAAAGTTGGGAAAATTCAGAGTTAAAAACTGGCAGAGTTACATGGGATCGGGCAAAAGAGAATATTTGGAATATGTGGAGGAACGTTCTCAGAGCACATGTCAATCGAAACACATGTTTGACACAAACTTCGTGGGTAAAGTCTCAAACCGTGAAGAGTAGAGAATGAGCAGTCATCCTGAGAACACGCTCGGCAGGAAGGTCTGGTACACAGACGAGTCGAAAACCGAACATTGAATGGGAGCTACAATTTGTGCGGAGAAATCTTCCTTTCCGGTTACTGACTCTGCCAGTACGCATCAGTCTTGCTGGCTAAAATGTATGCAACCTTGCAATGTACAAGGTACATCAATTTGAGGTCTCCACGAAATAAGCGAAGAACATTTTCACAGACAGACAGGTTGCACTTGGGGTACTGACGAACCTAAAAATGACATCCAGACTGGTCTGGGAATATTACGAAGAACTTTACAGAACAGGAATATATTGATTATATACTGGGTGCGAGAACAAGCAAGTAATGCGAGAAAGTCGATGAGTGTGCCCGATATGGATCCTCAACTCCATATATTGGCCATAAACCAGCTGCGGAGGTACCTCTTTGGTACGGAACTGAATTGAAAAGAGAGTCTATAAAAACATAGCGAGTACTGGGAAAATACTCGGAAACACACACGGTAAAATTTTTATGAAGGAACCGTCCGAGAAGAGAATCGTTTTAATAAAGCAGGAATCGTCTTGAACGACTACTCACTGGACACAAATAGGGCTGTGAAATGGAGACTTCAACTGCAGGCAATGTAAGGAAGTGACAGAAACAGCTCGTCCAGAAAAATATGTCATACATCCAGTCAGGGACCTGTACAGAGTGGGCTAAATTGGACACTTTTGAAGAGAAACCCCTGTTTTCAAACTAGATAGATGAAAACTGATGGTTGTGTCTGGGTGTCAAATTTTATGATAAAATCAATGGTGAAAACCGCATTTCGATATATATCATTGTTTGTCAGTTACTTTATTCCTGTCAAAAATTTCTTTTTCCTATGAAAACATTTCCAAAGCACTTTTTTACGTAGAAAAACCTAAAAGTTTTGTATTTCACAAATGACTCTAGCAAAACATCAAGTGTGCTACATTTTTGAAATGGTAACTTTAAGTTTTATTGAAATACAGGGTGTAACTGAATAAGTGTAAAACATTTGAGGAGGTGATTCCTCACCGAAAAAAAAGTAGGATCTTTCATATAAAGAAGCTTCATTGGGGTATCCCTTGTTGAGCTACAGCCTCTTAAAGGGGGTACATAACATTTGTATAACAAGCACTGAAAAAGTNATTTTTTAAAACAAGTTTAGCGTCTTCTGGAGAGCTCAGAATAACTTTAAGTGGCCTAATTTTTGCTCCATTGAATTTTCCAAGCCTGAATAGTTTAATATTGTTTTTGTTAACATTATAATCCTCTAAAATGAATTCAACTGCCTGCTTATCTTCGGAGTTACGTTCATTTTGCCTATTTTTCTGTGATTCATTATTATTGTAAATTATTAAATTTGAGGTTCTATTTTGCCTATCCAGCATTTCAGATATCAATTCTTCCATGTCTAGTATCTAACATACACTAGTTGCATTTGATATTTGGGAATTGTCTTCACTATGTGCGAGTTTTTCTTCATCATTTGCCAGTTTTTTAACAAGTTCTTTCAGTTCTGATACTTCCTTGATTAGGGCTGGTACTTGCTTTTCTCCTGGTTTTCAAGTTTTCAACTGCATAGATTTTATTTCGGATACTGTTAAGTTTCCACATTCACTGCACAGTAATGGTTTACAACTATCACATGCAAATAACTGACCATTTTCAAACTTTGTATTGCACTTTCCACAAGTTTCCATATTTCAAAAAAATTAGGTCGATTTAAATTTCGAGCTCTAGCCTCCTACGAGGTACTGGACGGGCAGGGACGACACGTGGATGGCCACGTGGTTCCTTTGTCTGTTTGGGATGCCTTCACAAGCACTGGTTATTTATCTGTTTTCACTGTTTAAATTGAATACTTTGGTATTATTTACCCTATAGTTGATTGATATACACATTGATATATAACGTTACATAACTAACTGTGAATGATCATGAGATGCTCTTCAGGTGGCTCGTGAAGTTATTTACAGGCCAACCAAGAACTCGAGACTAATGACCATAGTAGTCGATGCCAGTGATACCGATGAAACGGTGAGGCATTTTAGTCTTTGTCATGTGAAAAAGTGTTGCCCAACTGTGTTGTAATTTGCAAGGCAATTTTGAATTTCCATCCTGCAGCACTGTATCAAGTTTTTCAGAGATATTCTTGACATAAGGCTTTTTATGGTACTTGATTATGGTCTTTTATCTATTGAGTTTGTAATCATCATTAATTCTTCTTATAAGTGTTAATGTTCCTAAGAGACTGTTCCTAAGAGGTGATATTGACATAGTATTCACAGCGTCTACTTACCGATCAGTCATTGTGTCGAAGTCGCTGAATGTATCTCCCTGATTTCCCGACGACATCAGAAAATCCAAATAGGCTCCTGGTAATCCTAATTCTAAATAAGTCTTGACAAGTCTCAGGTCCGCCGAATTTCCATCCAAACCATGCACGCAAACGACTAAATGCATACCTTCCGGAGAAAATATCCTGAATTCATCGCTGATGTGAAAATAGGGAACGGTGGAAGCAAAAGAATTCAAATCTGAATATAATAAGCCCGGAAAGCTTAATTGACTTTTGAATTCTTTTTTGGCCTTCAGGAATATTTTAAGGGACTCGGTGTTGTCTTTAAAAAAATGGAAATCTGAAAACATTAAAATATAGTTTATTTGTGGGAAAAATGAAATTCTGTTTACCTTCAGTCTCATCTTGTGGTTTCAAATTAAATTGACTTGGTATTCTCTCGAGATTCGTTTGGGTATCTACGACATGGTATAAAAGATTATCTACTGCGTTGATTTCTTCTTCGTTAGTGCCGTTAGTTACAGAACTTGACGGTGACTCTAAATCTCTAAATTGTTTCGGAGGGGGAAGAGCGAAAGTCTCGCAAACACTACTTTGATTGAAATCACAGCCTGAAAGTGAAAGTCACTTTGATGGTGGATCAAAAACAAATAGTCTGGGATCCGATATTACCCTCATCTGTTGTTTGACGATTAAAAAGATTATGTCGATGAATTGCAAAAAGTTGAATAACATTGATTTTAATTTAACTTTATTGAATACTAGTTGTTGCCCGCGGCTTCGCCCGTGTAGAATTTGGTAGTTGTAGTACTAATTAGTACTATGTTGCTGTATCGCTGCTTGTTAAAATTTGCATCATTATTTTTTCACTCATACATTAATTTGTCAACGACAATAAAAATTATGAAACAGAAAGTATTTTGTCCCAAAATGTTCATATCCCATGTACATTCGATGGTGTAAGCCCATTCAATACATTGAATAAGGGTGGAAGTCACATTAATTGTTATATAATAGGTAGTACATTTCACACGATTTATCAAAAAAATATTTTATGGAAAAATTTCATACAAGAAACTCATTTTGATTCTGACTCGTCAGAAGTGCCTATCATAAATTTAAGATTTTTGACACTATTAAAACTTGGCTTACATCTCCCAACTTCCCTGTATAGTAGGATCTGGTAAATGCTTTCTGAACAACAACCACTTCCTTCGCTAAGAACACGACGGACATTGAATTCATTTCAGTGGGGTACTGCTACTGAACGAATGTGAAACGTTTGCAAGAATTTCCTAATGGAGGAATGCCTGGTATTAACCAGGAAAGTAGTTGTTTTCCACTCACTACTAGTGAAGTTGGGAGAGGTGAATATTTCGAATTATAATTCGAAATATTAACTTTCCTAGAGGTGCTAGTATCAAAATATAATTCTAATTCCTCTCCTTTTCTTTGTTTTGATTCCTTCAGGGTATACTCAAGTTGTAAGGATGTTGGTTCAGCTAAGAATAACGCTGGCTCTAAAAAGACATTATAGCAAAGAAAATCAGCTAATCTATTATACGGAATGGTGAACATAATTTTTCCCTCAACAGCTACTATAAGCACAGATTCTTCCCAACATTCTTGCAATCTCAGTAACCATGGATGTGACAAATTTTTGTTAGGGTAATTTGATTCTGTTGGGTATTAAAATAATTGAATGAATGATGAGGGTGTATTAGTACTGCTTGCTTATCTGATAAGGCTAAAAAGTAAGTAATCTATGTTTTTCCAAATATTTGTGTCATATTCTTTCAGCTAACGCTTATTTTCTATGAATAGCAAATTGAGGAAGTTTATTCAATGAAATTACTTAGAATGTTCATTATTCAACGGTGTCAACCAGTTAGCAATTCAGTTAGGAAGCCTAGTTATAATTTATCTACGAATATATTATCTGTCGTATAATCTTCGTCATCTTTAAATAACAGATGAGAGTACGTACCTAATTGTTTCATTGGATATAAGACTAACAGTGATTTACCTTTGAAGAGGGAAAAATACGGATCGTGCTTTTGATGTATTTTACTAAATCCATTAGTCGAACTATCACTATCTATATTAAATATATTTGATTTACTTTTGGAAGGTTTTTCTCCTTTACGTTTGTCTTTGCTGCGTTTTCCTTCCGTGTTGGTGAATTGCCTTTTCGCAATACTTTCTAGATGCACCGCAGCTATTGTAAGAGGATTGGTTATGTCAGTACTGGAAGCTGAAAATGTATTGAGTTGTAGGTTCTGTAGATAATTTAGACCTCCGACAACTTTTTTGATAACTCAGATTTTTTTAGTTGAACTGAAATATTCGTCAGTAGATGATTAACGAAAGTGAAGTCAGAATCAAGCCGAGTCATTAAATAGTTGACAGTTGGTCCAAACTAATTGAATTTGTTTCAGTTATTTGGACAAACGGATTATGAGGAACAGCTATAGACTTATTTATATTACTCAACGAGAATTTGTATGAAGTAGAACGTTCATTCATCAAAGTATGTCGGTAAGCAGTAGGTTTCAAGTGACGCCAAATTCTATTATTAAATATTTATTTATAAAACTTGATAAAGAGTATAATCTAACGGAAATATTTGATTCCGACGATGACCATAAACTTTTCAACAAATAGTTCTGAATCCAAAACCGCAATGTGTGCCGCCCTACCAATCAACGCATTGGCAGTATTCGGTAAGGCATGGTGAATATCGTATCGCACAAATTTCAGTTCTTTCTGAGCAATTATCGGCGACAATATGTTGTGGACCATTTCTCTGTAGATCGTACCCAGGTCCGATGTATCTTTAAGAGATTCTTTGCACAGTTCTATCCTTGCCGAGTGTAAAGGAACATACCTGAAAAATGAAAGAAGAGGCATGTATAGATCATCAAAATATGTCCAGATACTATAGTTACTCTGTTGGAAGTAATAATTAACTAAATCATTGATAAACAGTCCTTTCACATGACACTAAGTTGGTAGTGGTATGAGCATCGAGAACAATGTTACAGTTCTGGTATACTATTTTGAAACAGAGGATTCAGTTCTAGTTTTCAATAAATAACTGAAAACTCATGAAATAGTGTCAAGAATAAAAGTTTTCACAAATTTAATTTTTTTTTCTGATTAATTCGGCCGTTACTTGATGAAGATCCATAGTTATTTCATAAACTACACCTACTGATTTGATCTCCACAAACTTTATTTAAAAAAATATATTACATGATTTGCTAACACAGTAGCTTTTTCGCTGTGAATTACGTAGGTAAGTACCTAAGTACGTAAATTATTAAGAAAAAGCTATTGTGTTAGCGAAACATGTCGTGATATATTGTTTTTAAATAAAGTTCGTGGAGATCAAATCAATAGATGTAGTTTATGAAATTTCCTGTTGACTTGAACAGCTTTTGAAGTTGTCTATACCTACGACTGACATCTGACATTTTTTCTGAGTTCTGTCACGGGGATCTACTGCCTGAGGGACCAGAAGCCTAGCACTCCACCTCAGTGTTTCATCAGTCCAGTGAAGTTAATATTGATGAATAAATGGGTAACTTCTATTATTTACAGAAGATCCGTTAAGGCAAAACCCAAAAAGGCCACTTGTGATGATATGATAAATGCACGCATAGGTATATTTAGAAATGATGCTCCGGTGGTGATTTTTAAAGTCTGAATGGAAACAAAAACAAGTTTCCTGTTAAACTTAAGTATGCAACTGTAACTCCGAATTTTACATCAGGAGATGCTAGTTTAATTGATAATTCACAAGCTAGTCGACGTTCTTTCTTAACTCAGCTTCTAAAAGCTTTAAAAGTATATGGTACGGAGATATTCTAGATCGCTTTTTAAATTTATTTACTAAACAACTGCCAGATGTGTCAACTGCTATCAATCTATGTATTTTCACAGAGACAGTGGAAAATGCTGTGGTGGCAATAGCGACCAGTTCACCACAAGGTAATAACTTGAACCGTTGTTCAAAATCTTTATACGTTATGATTTATTTTTATGATCTCTTAAGAGACTGTATTCTTTAAACGACATTTTTTTGTGAAGGACCAAATATTTAATTCTGTTTTTTTTGGGTTTATCATCTTCCACAATCTGAAAAAATAAAAGATAAATCAATAGGTAATCTGCTGAAGTGTAGTGAAGGGCAAACTGATAAGTTCACCCCTAAAAGTTAGTGCGTAGGTTATATAAACTAGGGCAGATGCTCCTTTTATGGCCTTTGCACCTTTTGTGGCCAGCCGCGGAAAGATGCTTGAATATTTCTCTTTGGCATAGAAATAGCCAAAAACATTCCAGTTCACCCACTTCTTTGATATCATTCGGACTATAAATGCGACGTTCCGTGTTTCGCGCATTTCACCAAAGAGTACACACCTGGTGTACACACCTGGTGTACTCTTTGCACTTCACAGAAAGGTGTAAATTCAGCTTCTGGTGGGTGATAGTGGCATTTCGTGATTAACTTGAGGAATTTGTTAAGAAACATTTTGATGAAATTATATGAAATTGATGGTTGTCATGTGTGTTATTTGACTTTTGTAACTCATTCCTAAGTAATTTCAATTGTCATAAGGAGCTTTGCAACGTGAAATCCAGTTGTGGCCAGTAATAGAAAGAGATAACAATTCCCAAATCAACTGCATGAGAAAATGTTAAAAAGGTGATTTCTTTTACAGAAAAAATTACTTCAAAAAAGTTATTCCAATACACAGATAATGTCATGGGAGAAGCTTTGAAAGCAGTTACGGAAGAAAACATGCCTGTGGCTACTGATGCCAAAAAATTTAACGTGCCAAGGACATCTTGACACGTTAATAGAAATATCGCTGAAATTGTTGACAACAAGGACTGCTGTACAATGCAAAACAGTGGGATAAAATAAATCAATGAAAATGGCCTGATCCACCTGACCTTTTGGTATAAAAGGAAAGACATCATTCTGAAAATAAATGAGCCTAATATCATGAATACAAGAGGGGTTTTGTCGGTTCCCGAAATGAAGCAATTCTTATAATAATATATTCATTTAGTATGTATATGTATCTGTTTGTTATTTCTGAAGTAAATGTGGAATATTATCCCACTTAATTCTGCATTTTACTTATGACCTTCAATAAAATAGGTATTCACTGATTATTATATCGGTACCTACCTATGGTTCAATCTTTGAACACTATTGACAATCTTTTGCCACAACCGGATCTCTTCCTGACCAGAACTGGTGAAAATGTGGCTACAACTGGCGAAATCCTATTCAACAATAATTTTATTAAATCTATTTCTTTCTAACCCGTATACTATATTATTATGCCCGTCTTTCAAAGTCAGTAACATGTACAGTTTCCTTTAATGTGATCAAAGTGAAAAATTGTCATGTATTTAATGGTACAGCCTTAATCGACGATACCAAACTCTTCAAGTGGCCACAATCGGTGCATTTGCCCTACTGGAAAGTCCAGTTAGTCAGTAACTTGTGGTATTCATAAATTTTGCCCACAAATTGGAAAACAATCAATTGAAAGAATCAAATTTTAATACTTAGATTCTCTATTGATTTATCTTTTATTTTTTCAGATTGTGGAAGGTTATTAACCTAAAAAAAAGCAAAATAAAAATATTAATTTCATTGGGGATTGAAGGTCGTCGACTTTTGGAATTTCTTTCTGACGTTTCGCTGTCGTAAGTGGCTACCTTCCTTAGAGGTTTATACATCTTGGGTTTATCTCCGATGACTGGGTATTCCGACTGCGTGAAGCGTATTCATGTTGACTCAGGTAGTTTGGTGTGATTAAGCCCTATTAGGGAATGCGAGTTGCTTATTTGTTGTTCTACAGCCGCAGCAATACGATCTCACCCAAATAACGCACCCTTACCGGCTGCCTTCGTGAGGATTTTTTTGGTCGGGCTTTTTATGATTTTTTGTTGGTTTTGTGTTTTTTCATTTCTCTATTCTGTCATTCTGTTGTATTGAATATTTGAAAATATAGTTCCAGGACAGTTTGATATCTCAATTCTTAATAAGTTTATTTATTATTTAAAAGACACTTAATTCAAAAACATAGGTATGCTTTCACGGACGGAGTCACGATTAAAGATAACAACATCCTGATTGGTAGTTGCTGAGACTTCAAGGTATAATCTTCGTCCTCGAAGTCAACGCAGATACCATGATAATGTACGCCGCAGTGGCAGACGATACGTTTGGTACTTCAGGTTCCATTCGAAAGCGGATTACCAGCACGGACTTTGTTCTTTTTACACCTTCAATTGTTTTATGAATCTGTTAGAGTTTGATTTTTCTGTCAAGAAATATATCAAAGTGTACAAAAATATTCGAATACACACCTGTCTTGACCGGAACCGCACAGTAGTATATTCTTAAAATGGTGTAACGTACTTCTTTGACTCAAACGATACAAAAAGCTCTGACGAGGATCCACAGCATCTTTCAAACATAACTGTAACAGGGATTCGGATTTTTTCCACTTCTGCATAAACCACATTCCTGAAAGATTTTGATACAAACGAAGTTCAATGTAAATGATGATATTTATATGATTTACAGTGATTATGATAATGCTATGTTGAATTAGAGTATGTAAAATATATTTGTGTGCATTTGTGGGAGAGCTGAAGAGTTTCTTACCCATATTAATTAATCCACTATTGTTGTATAAAGTTCCTAAATGTGGTCCTGATAGTGATAAGAAAGTATGCAGTCTTGGAAGCAGAAACTTCATTTGAGGTCTTGATAATGCAGATCTGATGATGATATTACCAAGAGAGTGTCCAACGAAACTTATTCTTGTCGGCCGAATACTACTGTTGTCTAAGTAATTTATAATTTCGTTGATTAAACTGAAAGAATAACGAAATATCACACAACATGATTTTTGATATAGCAGAATTATGTGAGGCATAGCAAAATTATTATAGTTGGTAATGTAGGGGGGACCGGGTATGGTTGTCCTACGAGTTGGTTGTCACAGCGGCCATATTGGAAAATTGAAGAACTAAAACGTTTATCGAACAAAATCAAAGGATCGCACTCTGACACGGTTTTGTAAAAAATTCACTGTCGAAGAGATAAGCAACACGGTGGTATCAATACCATGAATTGGCTATCAAAAGTATAGGCAAATCTTCACCGACAAATAGAAGAAAGAATTAGAAAAATACATATTTATGGCTTCAAGTATTTATTTCGGTTCGTCTCCCAAGAATATTCGAGAAACTGCGTTACATTTACCAGGTTACATTTGCCATACTAGGCTACCAGGTTAGATTTATAATAAATGAATTTTCGAATATTCATTGGATTTTAGACTGACTGAATATAATTTCGCTAGGATGGATATTTTTAGTTTACAAGCATTGCGGCCTGATGAACTTAAATTTTTGGTATTTTAGTTACCAGAAGGAAGTTATTTAACTTCATGAACGAATTGAGTTTTTTTTTCGTATAAGTTTATCCATATTTGCTACTGAAGAACCGATACGGCAAGTGCCTTACGGCGTGTTCCATGTAAGTGAAATTTTACTTCTTTCATTTAATAAGTTACTTCTTTGCATGATATACACAAACAAAAGTTTGTGGAGATCAAATCGTGAGGTGTAGTTTTTGAAATTACTGATGGATCTTCATCAAGTAAAGGCCGAATCAATCAGAATTATTGTGAACTGTTTAGGAATTGATAAAAAATAAGACAAGGTGGTGAAATAAACGTATATTTTATAAAGTAAGATTTAGGTCAAAAACTTATGCTAATCTATTGTGAAGGTTTTTCAGAATGATGAGTTTTTGATTGTTTTCAACATTTGTTTTCAAATTTCTATTAGCAAATTTCAAAGTATAATACATTCTTACCCTTGTGAAAAAAGAAAATAAATAATCCAAACGAAAATCATCACGAGGGTGAGAAATATTGATTTTTGAAAACATTGTTTTCAGCTGGTTGCCTATGCAATCAGTGGCACATAAATTGTTGAATTGATTAACAAATTCTGTCTCTAGATGAATGATACCTTGTGAAAATGAATTTGGAGGCATATATAAACTTCCAAACTGTGTGGCTACTGTATTACTATATGCCTTGAAATGACTATATACATTTGTTTCATTCAGTGTGGTACTAGCCGCCGTGGCAAAATTTGTACATACTTCACATGAATGTTTTCTTAAACATTTTCTCAAAAGATATCCACAAACA